CCATCCCTGCCTTAAATTCTGACAAGTCAGGATTTGCTGACGAAGTACCCAAAGATGGTGGAATCATTCTCGTTTTCGAAACAGAATTTTTCTCCAGAGAGTGTCACACCTCTCACGTCCCTTGCCTCACTTTATGACGGCCCCTGTCTATGGTTGTAACTGTTTTTATTGGCACGAGACAGGAGGCAAATCGATTGGAAGGCTGAAAATTATTATATTTTGTTGGATTGCCAAATTTTTGATGTTTTTGAAGTTCACGAATTATAAGCAAAACTAAAATAGAAACTTTTGCCAAAGTAAGTATTTGGCCTTTATTCTATATTTGCTTTTAGCTTTCAGCAGTTTGACCTCGTTTTTTGTAAAGGCTATTTCTATAAAAGTATAGTAATGTAATTAAGAGATTTTCGGTGCCGACGGTTGATCGGACAATTCTCAACACATGAAAAACCAAGACTAAACAGGACAGTTTTCGCTCTATGAATTGAAGGGTTGTAGTCTACCAATGTCTAATTTATTTGCTCAAAGTAAATTCTCTTTTGATTGCAAAGTTAAAGTATTCTTTATTCACAAGTTAACTTTTAACAAGAACATGGTGTATAGTCAAAGCTGAATGTTATAAAGTTTTAAAGCACTGCTAACCAGTTGATAACTGGACATAGGACACCTTCCATATACACTTAACCAATTTTCTACACTGACAGTTGCTCATGGATTAAAATGAAAGCTTTGATCTGATTTTGCGAATTGCTATGTTGAAAAAGTACATCTGGTATTATTAAGGAGAAATAGGCAGGGAATTTTCCACTACAATCTAAAGATCTGGGTAACCAAAAATTTTAATGCTTAGAATGAAAGCATATATATAAGGGATCAAGATTTCGAGTTGGGACATTTTGGAAAATTGGTTCCTGTCACGTGGCAGTGACGTAATTCACCGAGCGACAAGTCACGGTCAGAAAAAAGTAAAACTTTTCGAATTTTAAATCGAAATTACATTTTAAAAATTAGAAATTACACGCTAAATACATTTTTGGATTGCACTTTTAAAGTTATTTCGACTTTATAAAAGAACCATAGCCCTACAACGTACGGTCCCAAAGTTATAGGAGTTTGAAGTTGCAGTTAATCAGGGGGTAACGTCGTACAATTCTAATGGTATGTTTGTCTGTCTCAGATGCATTGACAAAAGTGAGCCAAAAATGAATAGCAAGCGTGATTTCTGCTTCTATTACAGTTATCTTAGAGCACATTTTTTGCTACAAATCGTGGGCTTTAGATGAATAATTGAGCTTCTTTCATTTGATGTTGCCCCCCCCCCCCCCCGATTTTTTTGAATTTCAAATTTCCTTGTTGGTTTAATGTTATTTAATTTGAGGAATATACAGAAAATGTACGATTTTCATTCTTTAGTGATTTTGGCTATTCACTGAGTTGCAAGAATCACATGAGCCCCACCTACGGGTAACACTAAGATCCGTTATAGAAACAAACTATGTAAAAACATACCTGACAAATAAAAATGGTCTAAGGTAGCCACTCGTCAAAAGAGTCCTCGCTAGACATAAAATCAAATACTTCCCATTCACTTTTGTCACTTGAATTGTCCCTTGCCACACAGTCATTCGTATCAGATTCTTTATCCCCTTCTTCTCCGCTGTTGGTAATCGCTGTTTCTGCCATCGGGCTGTCTTCTGCTTCATCGGATATAGTTTGCTTGCTCGGCAGTAGATCATCTAAGCCTGTTTTTTTTCTTCTTCTTGGTTTTCGAACTTGTTTTCGAGCCTTTTTTCTTGGGGGGCATTTTCTGAATCACAACTGTCGTAATCACCAAAACTTCCACCTTTTGCTTTCCTTCCACGAATGCTTTTGACTTATGGCGGAAATTGATTGCCAACGAACCAGACCGGCTTCACATCTCCATCTTGAATCTTCCATCCAAATTCCTCCAAGTCAAGATGATTAATGGTCCTCTGCCCGCAACGATACCATACTTAAGCCTGGCAGTGAGCTCGTTTGATAACTTGGACAACAGAATCGGGATCTGGGGGCAAAGACTTCGACGACTTATTTTTCAAGCTTTTGTACAAGCAAATTCTTGTTTCCACGTAATCTTCATTATCTTTGCCAAAATAGATCTCCGAACGCACAAACTTTCTGACATTGTTTAAACCATCTTCGGCCAGCTTTCTGCGCTGCCCATGTGACTCAAGCAAACCCAGCTTTGTTTTATCTGCAATAACCTTCTTGAAGATACGAAGCTTACCAGTTCGATAGAAGTACGATGTCGTATCGTAGCCTGTAATTGCGTGAAAAGCGGGACACACCGAGCAACAGGGACGAAGTAAGTTGCTAATTTTGGAGGGGCGTGGAAGGATGAAAATTCCAACTTTAAGTGAGAAATTTTTGGTGCGACCAGTAAATCTACTGTACCCACCAAATTGATATTTGTAAATAGCCCGAACACCATAGTTCTATTTTCTTTATAATTACCTAAACAAATAGCTTAAAGCATAAAAGCATAAATCTCTAAATTTTGATTACCATGAAACAAAAATTTAAACTTGCTGTAAGAAGTAAAGCAACATTCAAGCAAAACCAGTATTAGATATACTTAATGATTAGTAGTATTCTTTCAGATCAATTGATCAATTTTATCTAAAATACATTTTTTTCACGATATAGAAGCACCCAGAATTCGAGCCTTTTATTTTTGTTCTTGATCGAAGAAAACTACTAACACTTTTCAGAGGACCAAATGCCTTTTCGTTCTTTACAATTGAAATAATGATTTGAGAGCAAACTTGTGCATATGCCTGATTCGAAAGATGAAACACTCTTCTTTGATCAAATACTTCTACTGCAATTTTGCAATGTGTTCTTGCTTCACAGCAGTTTTGTCATAGGAATTTATGATAATGAGTCAAGGACGTTAACAAATAACAGGGGGAGTTTAGCATAAACTCCTTTTTTATAAGAAGCGTTAAGAATTTTTAGTACTGAAAGTTTCTTAATCTTTTATTGAATTAACTACTCGTAGTTTCTTAAAAAACTCCCACTCTAAAATTTTCTGATCAATGCGGGTATTATTATTCCAAACTGTAAAGTTTCAAGTTTCTTATCCAGAAATTCACCTTGCCTGTTCGTAATTTGATTCAACTCCCATCAGAAAGAAAGCAAACGGGGCAATTGTGCAATTTGGATCCAGTGGAGACGGGATTCACAATAGAAAACGATTAATGGATGAGTCAGATTCAGCCTGTGAATTTTGATGTTTAGAATTTTTACATTTGAAATAAAAAAAATTCTTAAAATAAAAAATTCATAAGTTTGGACTTAAGAAAAAAATTCCAAGTCAACCGTTAAGTTTTCTAACTGTAACTGGATTTTCCAAACTTTGGGGGGCGTTACGCCCCCCACGCCCCCCTATTATTTACGTGCCTGCCGAGCAAATATCTGATCCAAGGAAATCACAGATATCTGCGTATTTCTCGGCATCATACTTCAGGTACCATTTATATGTAACATGGTATTGAGAATACGCCCACACCAACAGCACTAACACATCAGTGTCTTTCGCAACAATGACTACATCAGTCTGCTCTTCAAGTGCCAATAGCACAAGTCTGGTATCAGCCTCTTCGTGATTACATTCCACTTCATCATGATTGGTATTATCTTCGATGTGGCATTCGACGTTCCTATAAGGTAATTGCGAAAAGATGCCTTTTCCGACTGACGCAAATTTCCACCTGGTGAAGAAACAGACAAAGGTACAGAAGTAATCGGGTACTGGAAAGCTTCTTCCAAAGTCATTGATTTTGAGACAATAGTCCCAAACGCTTGACAAATCTTCTTTTAATACTCCCAGAGCTTTTGGTGTCTTCTTTTTCTTTTTAATTCCAGTTTGCATCTTGTTTCTCTTAATCGGTGAAAAGAAATTCACCGTTCCCTTTACTAGCCCGTCTTCTATAAACGATTTAAACTGTGCCACATCAACCTCAGGTGCTTGCGGCATATCATTAACGATTGCATCGTCAATTCTATTTCCACGAGAAAGATGTTTCGGAAAACCAGTTGAGAAGGGATCTACCCCATATCAACGCAGCTTATTCTTTAAATTTCTGACGTGTTCACTGTGTAGTCGTTTACCCCGTGACGTTACTTCTTTATGCTTTGAAGTGGCCTTCATATGCAGCACTTTGTGAAGGGTTGTCCTTAGCATAGTAGGAATATGCAGGGCCGCCGGAGCCAGGGGGGCCACGGGGGCACAGGCCCCCCTGTTTGCAAAAAGTTTAAAAAAGTGCCCCTTTTTGAAAAATATATTGCGTGTATTTTTTCAATGCCAGATATTCTGCCTTTAGAAACTAAATAAAATAACATAACTCTGGACGTTGTTGGAGGACCATTCATTGAAAATTCCTTAAATGTTTACTTGGTCTTGATGCAAAAAGCGCAAGCTCCTGTGATGAACAATATCAACTGCGAAGGAGACTGCCAGTTCCGCGAGAAAATTTCCTTAGCAGGCTTAAACTCTCTAGTATGTCTTCAGCCATTGGCGGATCTACAGGGGGGGCCGGGGGGGCCATGGCCCCCCCCCAAACGATTCGACAACGAGAAACTTTGAATGAAAAGACAGTAAATACATTAACTAAACATGTAAATTGATAAGGTAAAAGTTTTTGCATAACAAGAAACTAGTTGTTTATATAACTAACAAACCAAAATTACTTATTACATTACATGAGAACACTAACTGCGAGCATAGAAACATGAGAGCTTTGATTGAGTAATTTTGTGGAAATCAGTGATCCCAACTGATGTCAATATATTCAGAAAAGAATTTGAAAAGGAAGTAGCTATATCGTAGCAAAAACGTTATCGGAGATTTTGCCTTTGAAACGAAAAGCTACATGCGAGCTCATTTTGCGCGAGAAGTGGTGTGTTTCAATGTTGAGTATTGCGATATAATAGCAACGTCATTTTGTCCATCTTTTAACTACTTACAGCTTTAATGGGATTCGTCTTGATTTTAATGCTGCGAATGAGTCAATGAGTTTATCGCTCGTTGGTGTTCTGTCACGGTGAACTTGCAGAAGAAGTAGGGATTCTAATCTCTCCTCAGACATTGTTGACCGAATTGCTGTAAGGGTACTATTCAGTTTAGAAAATAGTCGTTCGGGTTCTGCTGTTGTCACCGGTAGCACAGTGAGAATGTTGAGTAATGTATGCAAATTAGGAAATACATCACCTTGGCAGTCGCCTAAAGCGCCGATAGCGGTATTTGCTACTGTACTTGTTCCACGTGACAGCCATTGCTGCTTCCAAATTTCATACTCTCCTTCAACAATGGACAAGGGGTCTAAAAAGACTCCGTATTTTAGTGCTGCAGGCAAAATATCTTGCCAAGTTGATTCTTTGACGAAACAAGGCAGAATTCTTGTAAGCGTCGCAATCTTCTGCTGATGGGGACCAAATCTTGCTTTCATATCTCCAGCCACTTCATCAAGAAGAGGTAAAAACACATTGATACGATAATAATCAATGGCTTTTTGATTGGCTTCACCTGCATTTGATCTGAACCTGGATTGACTGACTGCTCGAGGAATTGCGTCCATCTCTTCTCTGGTCACTCCAATATTTTCGCCAAGAAGCATTGCCTCTTCAAACATCGAAGCAAACTCATTTTCTTCACCTTTACGCCACGTGTAAAGCTTTGACTGTGTCGCAGAAATCGTCGACATTGCTTTCACAAGATCGCTACCAATTTGTTGCAAAGAACGGGACACTGGGCGAAGTACAGCAGACACTTTCTCGGCCAATACTAGCGCTACAAGGAACTGAGGGTCTTGCAAACTTTTTAACAATCTCCTGGCATCTTTTCTTGTATCTAATGAGTCCCAAGCGAGCATTTATTCCAAGCACACAACGATGTAAGGCAAAAGCTGTCGTGCAACCAAAACTGATTCATGTCTTTCGACAAATCTTGTTTCACAGAGGGTCACCAACTGCCGTCGCTGAAGCTCTTCAATTGATTCTCGTGCTATGACTGCTTGCAAATAGCTGTTTCTTTTCGCATGCTTGAAGAAATTGTTGATATCTTTGATGTCATCCATGCAATGTCTGATTGCTGGTATCTTTGCGGCTCGAGAACAACTTAGATTTAGCGCGTGCATGCAGCAGTGGAAGTAGTCAGCGAGTGGCGCAGCAGATTTGATAAAGGAGCAAACACCAACTCGCTCACTGGACATCGATGCAGCACCATCATATCCTTGACCAACGAGGTACTGCAAATCCAACCCAAGCTCACTTATATGGCGGAGTAGAGTCTCCCCTATTGCCTTGCCACATAGCTTAATTTCATTGTGCTCTGTTTCATCTGATTGGTCACTGCTTTTATGTCTGCAATCAGGTCTAAAATTGCGACCGGTTCTTCTTTGATAATTTTTGGCACATTTTTTGTGTCAACGTAACGAATTGCAATGACCAACTGTTCTCGTTTCGCACAATCTTGGGTTTCGTCGGCCATTATTGTCCAGAATTTTGCATTTTTTACATCTCTTACTATGTCCTCTTTGACAATATTTCCTGCACAGGCAATTAGCTCGTTTTGTATCGTTTTGCTTACCAAAGAAGCATTGCGTTTGCAAGATTTCAAGTGATCTTTCAAGTTTGTATCTCCTCCCCGTACTCTCAATCGCAGCAATACCCTGAAGTTTCCATCATTGTGCTTGGGTTCCATCCCAGTTGAATCTACTGGTCCATCATCACGATGGCCTCTAAGCGCAATATTTTGCCTGGCGCATGTTAGAAGGGTGTCGATGATGGGAACCAGCGCAGTCCTGTTTCTTTCAATCTCTTTCTGCCTTTCAATGTTCATTATTGATCGAACGTCCTTCTCAATCCCAGGTGTTGCACGGCTCAAGAACTCCGTGTACTTTATGGCACATGTCTTATGAAAAGATGTTTCTTGGTGACTTGTGAGGGCTCCATTTTTCCCTGTCAAGTCTGAAAAGTTTACAAGAGGCTTGTTAACAAGTTTGCCCATTGACTGGCCTGCTCCACCTCCGTATTGTGCACCTCTTCCACCTCCACTCTCGCACGTCTTGAATAAAACGCAATAAACACACCAAGCACCGCAACATTTTGGCTCTCTGCTGACAGCTAGCCAGGGGAAGGTTTTCAAGTGATTTTCACCCAGAAAACGCTTCGTTGTCGAGGACATACCAACCATGAGCTGATTCTTTGGTTTTTTCTTTTCAGAAAATGGATATTCATCCCTTCTCTGCGGCACCCACCTCTTCGATAAATATGCTTCCCTTTCGTTATCTGTCAGCTGTTC